TGGAAACACAGGAAATCCAGGACAGATAAACCCCTCAGGACCAATAATGAGAGTGGCCATACCAGGAGGGGCAGGGGAAGGTGGAGGAGAACCGGGGGAACCAATCACAAGGATCTACATATAACCCCCTTCCTGGGGGGATAGACAACAGAAAAGTGGGTGGAGGGAGAAAGCAGTTAATGTAAGACATGAAAATTTTTAAAATAAATTATTAAGGGTTCATGATAGAGGGAGGGGCGGGGAGGGGGAAAATGAGCTGTTACCAAGGGCTCAAGTAGAAAGAAAATGTTTTGATGGCCACAAATGTACCAATGTGCTTGCTATAATGGAGTTATGTATGGATTGTGATAATAGCTGTAAGAATCCCCAATAAAATGATTAAAACAAAACACCATCCATCCATCGTGTCAAGCACATGTGTACATTTGTTGCCATCATCATTTTCAAAACATTTTTCTTTCCACTTGAGCCCTTGGTACCAGCTCCTCATTTTTTCCCCTCTCTCCTCCCACCCTCACAAACCCTTGATAAGGGGGATGAGGTTGATGCAGACGGCCTGAGAGGGTGGTGTGCAGGGTGGGTACCAATCCTGGGGGCCTGGGCCTGGGCCTGGGCCTGGGGAAGTTCTGGCAGGCCGGGCTGGGGGATGATGCAGGGATGCTCTCTCCCTGCAGTCCATCTCCGGCTTTGCGCACAGCTGCTTCCAGTACGCCATCCAGAAGAAGTGGCCTCTCTACATGAGCACCAAGAACACCATCCTGAAGGCATACGATGGACGCTTCAAGGACATCTTCCAGGAGATCTTTGACAAGTAACGGCCCCACTTTGCTGCCTTCCCAGGGGTCCCAGGACCTTCTTCCCTGTCCGCCTGCCCCTCATGACTGCAGGGACTCCCTGCCCCACTTGGTCCCACTCTGAGGCATGGGGAGGGCTGCCCAACTCGCCCCCGCCCCACCACAGGCCCTTTTGCTCCCAGGCACTATAAGACTGACTTTGACAAGAATAAGATCTGGTACGAGCACCGGCTCATCGACGACATGGTGGCTCAGGTTCTCAAGTCTTCGGGCGGCTTCGTGTGGGCCTGCAAGAACTACGACGGAGACGTGCAGTCGGACATCCTGGCCCAGGGTATGCCGGAAGGACCCTGCTCCCTGGGAGGGCTGGGGGAGAGCAGACTGTCCTCTGGCTGGGGGATTGGTAGAACTTTCCAGTAGCACACCTCTGTAACGTATTAGCAGGACTGGAGCTTGCCTCTCCCTGTAGGGTTCCTGGTGGACAGTAGGGAGGTGGAAGGTGGACGGTGGGGCGGCAGGAGCTCCCTGGTGAGGGAGCAGGGGGTGGAGGTGGAGAGGCTGCCCCTGGGCTTGGCCTGGTGTATCCTCCAGGCTGTTATGACCGAGGAACAGAGAGGAATCCCAGTCCTGAGGGGCTGGGCGAGTCAGTCCTGAGGTTGCTCTTGGCCACAAAGGAACTAAGGATTATGGTTTGGGTTGTGCTTTGAGTTGGTGGCCATGGGAAGGACTAGGTAAGATGACTGACTCACTGGATGGCGTGCTCTTGAAATGGCAGTGGGTTTCTTTTTGGACAGTAAATGCTATGGTTGTAGCAGAATATTGGGCAGGATGGCCCACCCCTAAACCTTAGAGTGGTGAGGAAGACCAGTGGATTGCGGTGGAAGACCTAGGTGAAGGCCTAGAGAAAAATGCTCAGCGAGGCTGGGTGTTTTGGTAACAAGAGCAGGAAGAATGGTGGCCAATGTGTGCAATCTAGAAAGATACAGAGAAAGAAAATCACAGGAGGTGGAGAGAGGCCCAGCCACTTCTGTGAGAACCGTGAGGTCTTGTTGCCACTGAGGAGGGAAGGAGAAGATGGGCAGACCGGCAGGCAAAGTCACCCTAAGTATTGCAAGGAATTGGTGAGCGTGACGGTCCAGGCAAAAATGAGTCTCTCCTTCCCTCAACACAAATGATTTAAATTTATTTTTGATTGTGTTTTGTTGTTTGGGGTGAAGGTTTATACAGAATTTCAGGTTCCTCTTCCACAATGTGTACACAGATCGTTGAAGGATAGGGGTTACATCCTTCGAACATTCTCCTGATTTCCATTCTAGTGGCTCCATTTCCGTTCACCTAGTTTTCCTGCTCCCTTACCCATCTTCTTTGTTTTAAAGTAATTGTTGACCATTGCGTCTCGTGGAGGGGATTTTTCAAAGAGCACAGTAGTTATGGTTGATAATCATTTGTGAATCAGACTATTATTGAGCTACAAGGTGGCCTCAGGGGTTAGTTTGGGCTTGAAGTTTGAAGAGATTCTCAAAATAATCATCATGGGGAGTCCTTGCAACACAATCAGTCCAGTAAATATGTTTTTTTTTTTGGGAAAAAAGATAATGTTTTTTATTATTTAAAAAAGTTAGTATTTATTGGGAATTAATCCATATGGCATTCCAAAGGTCAAGCATGTCAAACAGAATTGTACAATCGCTCCCAAAGTTTCCAGATACAGGGTTTGTTTTTAGACGGTTGAGGTTCTGTTTCATATTGTTCTCTTATTCTCCCAGGGTCTTTCTATCGTGGCTCATATGAAAATGGCCCACAGTGGTAGTAGGCACCATCTGATTTTTCTGGTCTCAGGGCAGGTCCGGCCACGGTTTGTGTAAACTCCACAGCCCAGAGACTGTTTTAGGCAAATGATTCAGATGTTCCACGAGACCGTGGTCCTAATACTTCAAACTCAGAATCCCATCTTGCAGCTCTTTGGTTATGTCTAAGAAGTGTCTGTAACTGTGCTCCTGGAAGCAGTGTGTTGGTCTTATCTGACCTTCAATTTTGTGAGGGGCAGAGGGGACCGTTGGCATCAGCACCAGCTGCTCCAGGCTGATTCCTATGACCTGCCTCCACCCTCTAACTTAACAAAAAAAAAGTAAAGAATTTTAACCACTTTGGATACAAACTGTCCCCCCCATGTACTGTTTCTCTGCTGGGTACAATGATTTGTTGCAATGGCTACAAAGAACTCACAGACAATACTTTGGAGGTTTCTTGGGGAAGTAACAAGTTGAAATCCAGGATCAGAAATGCTTACGATACAGTTCTTCAGTCAGGAGAGCCTCCTCTGCAGATTACAGTTCTACAGTCAGGAGAGCCTCCTCTGCAGACGTGTCTCCTTTTAACCCTTGTCCCTTTGTCCCTTGGTTTGGTCCCCGCCCTGCTCAGACAAGTGTTACAAAACTCTTTCAGCTCTGCCAATACGTGATCGAGGAACCCTGGTGGCATGGTGGCTACGTGGAGGGCTGTGAACCTCAAGGTCACCAGTTTGAAAGCACTAGCCGCTCCAGGGGAGGGATATGAGGTTTTCTAATCCCATAAAGAGTTACAATCTTGGAAACCCACAGTTCTGTTCTATTGTATAGGGTTGCTATGTTGGAATCGAGTGAGTGAATTTGGGTGTTTTGGGGTTTTGTTTTGTTTTAGTAAGTCCTCAGAGGCACCCTACTGTGGCAGCAAGCCTGTCCAAAGGCCCTCAGCTTTCTTGCTCTGTGAGCTGGGAACCCCCTCTCTGTCTCGGACCAGTTCTCCCTCTGCTACCACTGCTTCTCACCATCTCTGACGTGACTGAGGAGCCAGCAAGGGGAGCTCAGGCCCAGGAGTGTCTCCACTCCTGGCTCTTGCTTTTCGAATGGTAGTGAGGCCCCCACTCTGCATCTGCGATGGCTCATTTGAAGCCCAGAGGGGTCCTATCGGGTAATTCACAGCACCACAGCTTCCTATGCATTTTATTGATGCAGATGAATATATGTGCAAATAGTCACATCGATGCACACATGCATATGCACACACTATATATGCTCACATACCCATATATGGGTTTTTTCCCTCACAAACTTTTTGAAGACCCCTCCCCAAACACCCACAAATATATTTCATGGTGGTTTTTGCCATCGTTGCAAAATTGTATCTGCCGTAGCTATTGCCGGCAGGTCCCGTTCTCAAGCGTACATTTACTGGCCTGTCAAGCTGAGTAGACACTTCGCTCTCGTTAGTGCCTTTCCTGTCACCAACACTAACAAGTGTCTGCTCACTAGGGAGTGAGTTCCTGTCTCTCCCCACCCAGCCCTCGGCGCCTCTAGTGAGCGTTGGTTCCTGTCCATGTACCCGTTCATATCATTCCATACTCACCGACATCGGATGCAGAATACTGCCTTTATGAACGGTGTTGTGCCAATTGAGTGTCCCAAGTCTTTCACCTTTGAACTTCGGATCCTAGTCCTATGGGGGTTTGGTTATATCTAAGAAATGTCCATGAGTGTGCCCTTTCATGGTCTATGTTTTAATATAATACAGGCGGCACCTATAATTATGTGTGTGGAAATGTCGATAACCAAACCTGTCTCTGCAGGTGCGTGTGCCCCCCGCCCCCCTCTTTATTATCCCTGTCTGTCTGGTCGTTGTTCGCTGTTTGCTAATACCATGGTTGCAGGATGGGCTGCCTAATAAGAATTCCTTACATCCCGAATCACATGCCCTGCCATTGAGTCAATCCCGACCCTGAGCCCCCCTACGGGACAGAGTGGGGCTGCTCCGTTAGATTTCCAAAGCTTTAGAGTTTTATAGGAGTCGAAGGCCTCATCTTTCTTCTTCAGAGCAGCTAGTGGGTTGGAATTGCTGACCTTGTCGTTAGCAGCCTACTATGTAACCTATTATGCGACCAGGGCTCCTTAGTAATTACTGTAAAACCAAACTCACTGCCTCTCATCAGTGCTGACTCACAGCAACCTTATAGGACAGAGTAGAGGTGCCCCTGTGGATTTCTGAGACTGTACCTCTTAATGGGGATAGAAAGCCTCATCTTTCCCACAGTGCTTCGAACAACTAACCTTGCAGTGGGTTAGCATCCAAATACATAGCCCACTCTACCCACAGGGCTCCTTATTGATTGCTGTAAACCTAACTCACTGTCACTGAGTCAGTGCTGACTCTAGTGACCCTCTGTGGGTTTCAGAGTCTGTAACTCTTTACGGGAGTGGACAGCCCAATCTTTCTCCCTGGGAGCTGCTGGTAGTTTCAAACTGCTGACCATGCAGATTGCAGCCCCAAGTGTAACCACTATACCACCAGGCTCATTCAGTAATCACTGTATTTATCCTTTATCCTTGTTCCTCTCAGTGTGCTTCTTTGCCTCGGTCGTGTTGTGCTGACTCCTCCTACTGTGGACTGCCTTCCCGTCACTGTTATTGACGTGCCCTCGATCTAGGTAGCATTTCCCCCCTCCATCTGCGCCCTGGTAGCCATCAAGGACAGCTGCAGGGTTAGTCCCCCTGGGTGTAAGCCTTTTCTCTCATTTATTAAATAATAGACCCACCCAGTCTTTGTCCTCTGGTGACTGACTTATCTCACTGAGCATACTGCCCTCCACATTCATTCACACGGTGAGGTGCTTGTGGCTTTATCATTATTCTGTATCATTGTGAGTCTGTTCCACACTTGGTTCTCCATTTATCGGCGGCTGGACACGTAAGTTGTTTCCTACTGTGACAAATGCTGCAATGAACATGGGCGTGCATGTGCGCCCGTTCACATCATGGCTCGTGTTAATTTAGGGTATATACTTAGGATTGGAATTGCTGGATTCTTTGGTGTTTCTATTTCAAGCGTTTTAAGGAAGCACCGTACCATTTTCCATAGTGGTTGTACCATTGACATTCTCAAAAGCCGTGTGTATAAGGTTCCACGCTCCCCACCACATTGCCAGCACTTGTTAGTTTGTTCCATAATTAGTGTCATGGTTGTTCCGGGTGAACTATTTCATTGTTGCTTTGATTTGCATCTCTAGTGGCTAATGAGGGTGAGCCTCTGTCCCTGTGCTGGCCGCCTGAATGTCTGCGTTGGTGACCTGTCTGTTCCTCTCCTTTCTCGGGAGTTTTGCCTTCTTGTTCGGAAGTTGAAGGCTTTTATACACTTGAAGTGTTTCCCAGTCTGTTGATTTTCTTTGTACTCTTTTGGAGAAATCTTGATGAGCTAAGGATTTAGTCTTAGGAGGGTCTCTCTGTCTAGTTCATCTTCTGCTGTTTGTGCATTTTCAGTTATGTTTGGTATTTTTATTCACACCCCTAGCGTTGTCCCTCTTTGTTAATTCTATGACCTTTATGGTTTACACTGTATGATCTACAGGTTTCACACTGGGGTCTTTGATTCATTGCAAGTTGGTTTTGGTGCATGGTATGAGGTATGGGTTCTGTTTCATTTTTCTACATATAATTTTGCCGGCACCATTTCTTCCCCATTTAATAGACTTGGGCTCGCTGAAGACGGTCTGTCTCTCCATAAGTGGAAGGATTTGTGTTTAGATTTTTAATTCTGTGCCAGTGATCTCTGCATCTGGTGCGCCATTACCAGGCTGTTCTGACTCCGGCATAATTTCTTGGACGACTTTTCATAGATGTTGTGCAGTCTCTTCTCATCCTTAATTGGAAAAGCTACTGGCAGGGTCATGAAACACAAATATATTTTTGTGTCACGTGTTTCCTGAATGCCCGGTAAAACCTGACTGTTGAAGATGCTGTGATTTTAACCAAGCAACCAGGCTCCGTTCCCTTGCCTGCGAAGAAGACTGATGGTTGCAGCAATAACTGTGTGCTAGCCTGGGTTCTGGAGCGAGGCAGAACCAATGATGCTAGTACGTGTATGTCTGTAGACAGAGGTCTATATCAAGAAATGGCTCACACAGCTATAGAAGTGGGTGAGTTCAGACGGGTTCAAGTCTGTGCACCAGATGTCAGCTGCAGGCTTCTCCTGGCTCCTGCAGCAGCAGGGACTGAAGAGCAGGGAGCAGGAAGATGAAGCAGGAGGCCAAAGGCTGGTGGACGTAGACCCGAGTGAATACAAGATTGCCGAGTGAATCCCATGTTGGTGGTCCACTGCTGGCTCCTGGGATCGTCAGGAGGTCGATGAACCATGTCAGCTGCATGAAACCGCCCTCCATCACATCCAGGCTGTGGCCAGGTGAAGGAGCTCTATTCTCCCCACAACTGCCTGGCTGCTTCGCAGAAGATCCCATCATGGCGTTGACCACGCTTGTTAGATCGTATCGTGGGAGAATCCTGGCCCATCCAAGTGGACATAAAAACGATCACCATATCTTATACTTTTTTCAGACATGTTTGATCAAATCCCACCCTCAACTCCAATGTACAGTCCACGAGAGCAAGAGCTGGGAGCTGGGCTGTAAAACGTGTTCAATCAATATTGGTTGAATCACTGAATGAGTGAAGGCCCTTCTCCTTGCACTGTCCCTGCCAAAGAGGAGAAAAGACACATCTTTATCCTCTGGTGAATCATCTCTATGTAGCCCAGTGCCCCAAAGGGCTGTAGCAGCAGGACAGCCCGTGGGAAGGTGGGGAGCGCAGCCTGACCCCGAGGGCCAGCACAGGGTTAGACTTGCTGCGGAGCACTGGGACATACACTGTGCCCTCCACATGCTGGCCGGGCTCAGAGGGAGAGACCTAGAAATGGATGTCTGAAACAGCCCTCTCGAAGGCCCGCCCACCCTGATGGAAGACCGAGAGAACCAGCTGTCCGGAGAGGAAGCATGGCCTCCTCCACTGGTGACTGGCAGGTGTGAGAGTGAAGACTAGACTCGGTGTTTGCGGCCAGGATGCCCTCCCCGCCACTGCAGCCTACACTGGAGGACAGCATGGACCTGCTGGGCTGCACTCGGATCCAGGGCTGGGGCCAGAGCCCTTCACAAGGGGTGACCAGGGTTCCTGCAGCCACCTCGACCTGCCCAGCTGCCTCTTGGTGCCTCCCCCCCAGGACCACCTGCCTGGCAGAGAGGCCTCACTGCTGCCTTTTCTCAGCCTAAGTCACCCTCCTCAGCATGCTAGAGGCCCCGCCACAGCTGCTGATGTATTCCACCCTGTCCTGATGGCAGCCGACTCAGACGCAGAGACCTGCTCCCACCCGGATCTCGTTGGACCCCCAAGTTCTGGATTGGACCCCCCAAGGCCACGAAGCCGGCTGCAGCCCAATGCCCTCAGTGCCCTGCCCTTGTCCTCTGGCAAGGATATCCTGGGTGGGAGGGACCACCCATCAGAACGGCCTCCTGCAAGGATGGACAACTGGGCCAAGACTTTGGTGTCCACAACCGCTCCCAAGCCTGCTGCAGATGCCCCCCTCCCGCCCGCCCTTCCCCTTCTGGAAGTCAGCCAGCAGCCCCGCCTGGCCCCTCCCCAAGTCAGATCGAGCCACATAACCCGGACCCCTTTGTCCACCTCGGAGATCTTGCATCAGCGTCACCCAGTGGCTTCATGCCTAAGACGCCTGTGCTGCCCAAGGATGCTACTGGCTCTTGGCAGATGAGCTGACACCCCCGTTCCCCCCTACCGCCTTGGACCAGGCACCTCCTGCCCCCACAGACCAAGCTGCTCCCCAGGAAGCCTTACCGGGGGCCATGAGGACAAGCGTGACTGTCACCCAGCTTCCCTCAAGAGCCCCGTCTGCTGAAAGTGACTGAGGACCTGCTGCCCAGTAGAGGTTTCCCGCCTGAGTGTGACCAGAAATGACCAGAGCCCACCGCTGAGCTGAGGAAGCAGGAGACACAGAGCCCCTCAAACGGAAGCTCCTGGACGAGTTCAAGTCCACGCTGTTGTCCACACTGCACCCAGCCCTCTGGAGCACGGGAGCCTGCGGATGCCCATGGCCACGGCCCACCTGGTGATGCTCCACCTCTGGGCCCTGCTGCTGGTCCTCACTGGCCAGGCCACGGGCAGCCCTCACAGCTAGATGCCAAGGATCTCCATGGGCTCAGCAACGGCTGGTCAGAGTGTGAGAGCCAGGGCCCCGGACCCCTCTGCTGAGACCGTGGGCCCAGAGCAGGCTCGTCCAGTGCTCAGCAGCTGGGTGGGCATTGTGGCTTTGTGGTGCCCACCAACCCCAAACCCCCCAGGAGGGACCCCTCTAGTCTCTGATTGTGAGCAAGTGCCGTCCCTGGAGGGACGAGAAGGGAGCCATTGCAGAACCACCTTTAACGTGGCCGAGGGGCGGTACCCCTGTGAAACGGCTGATGGCTGTTCTTTCTGCTTCTCCTGGTCGCGGGCCAGGCTGCATGGGCTGACCTGCAGGTTGGATAGAGCTCAGGATAAGGGGGGCAGTGAGGACCTTGGACCCTGGAAGTTACAAGTTCTAGGGTGCCTGAAGGTGGGGACAGTCACCTGAAAGTGCCCTCTTGCCCTGTACTGGGCGCTGAGGACCCATAACAAGGGTGCACAAGCCTGAAACTGCCTTTGCCCCCCTGTTACAGTGTGTGGGGTTGAGACAGCCACAGCACCTGGGGAGGGGTTGGGGGTGGAGGGCTCCTCTTGGTGGTCTGGGAGGGGCCCAGCACTGAGAGTGGTCTCTGCCTGACAGGCTTTGGCTCCCTGGGCCTGATGACCTCCGTGCTGGTCTGCCCAGATGGAAAGACCATTGAGGCAGAGGCTGCTCATGGGACGGTCACCCGCCACTACCGGGAGCACCAAAAGGTGAGTGGAGCCCAAAGCCCATGGGTGCTGAAGGGCTGGAGAGGCTGGCAGCTATGTCCACTGGCCTCCTCACTAGCCAGGCCCCTGGGGGTGGGGTGGGGGGGTCTCAATCTCCTGCAATCCCTGCTCCTAGGGCCGGCCTACCAGTACCAACCCCATCGCCAGCATCTTTGCCTGGACACGTGGCCTGGAGCACCGGGGCAAGCTGGACGGGAGCCAGGACCTCATCAGGTGAGTGTGGAGAGAGGGGCCGAGCAGGCCCAGGGCGGGTGGGTGGGCGGGACTCCGCACAGCTCCACCCTCACACCGGCCCATCCCCTGCAGATTTGCCCAGACCCTGGAGAAGGTGTGCGTCCAGACTGTGGAGAGTGGAGCCATGACCAAGGACTTGGCGGGCTGCATCCACGGCCTCAGCAAGTGCGTGGCCCGGCCGGGTCGGGGGTGGCACTGGTCTGCCGGGGCCTTGGGCAGAGTGGGAAGGGGCCAGAGGACCCTCTCTAAGTCAGCGTAGTGCCGGGGCCTGGCCTTGGACAGGTGTATGTTCCCGAAGAGGCCTCGGGCCCCACCTTCCCAGACGAGGGCCCTTAACTTTGTCCTTCTTGCTGCCATTGGCTGCTCCCAAGTCTTTCCCTCAGTGAGCTTGGACCGCTTGTCCAGTGACCTGGGAAAGACAGGCCTCACCGCAGATCTGGGATGCCAATGGTCGTGCCCTCGTCTGCTAACCGAAAGCTTGGAGAGGTTCAAGTCCACTCGGGGGCCCTCAGAAAAAAGGCCTGGTGATCCACTTCTGCCCGCCAGCCCCTGGCATCCTTGGGGTGGTGCTGCGGGTGAGGTGCGGGGCTGCTAACTGCAAGGTGGCTGCTCTGAAGAGAGGCTGGCAGCTCTGGTTAGGGACCTACAGTTTCTGGAACCCAGACCTGGGCTGCTCCTGGTTGGTGGGTCTGAAACCCCCGTGGGGCACAGTTCTAGTCTATACATGGGCACCATTAGCCAGAGTTGACATAAGCCAGATTTTACCTACCAGGTTCCTGGCAAGTGTGCTGTGGCCTGCTGGCGTAGCGGTGGGCGACAGGTAGCCCGTGCCTGTGGCCTGTCACGGGGTGTGCCCCATCCCTCGGGGCAGGAGGCTGCCGCCCAGATACCCACACTCGGAGTCTGCTCTGGGCCGGCCAGGCCAACCGCACACTGACCCGACGGTGTTCTCTCGGCAGTGTGAAGCTGAACGAGCACTTCCTGAACACCACGGACTTCCTGGACACCATCAAGACCAACCTGGACAGAGCTCTGGGCAAGCAGTAGGGGGGAGCGCTGCCCTGGCCACTGCGGTGGACACGATGGAGCCACGCGGGCAGGTCCACTGGGCCGCAGTGGAGGGTGAGCCCCGCAGCTCCTCTCCAGGGAGCCTGCCCACGAGGCCTTTGTAGGGGACATTTTTTATAAGTGAGATATTTTTTAAAAGCCTCCCTGTGTTTCCCCTCATGGAGACGTGAGGCAGGAGTGTCGTGTTTTACCTCAGCCAGTCAGTCTGTCCCGCATACTGTAACTTCCACTGCCCGTGGAGCACGTGGTGCCGAGTTAGCTACTAAACGCTCTTCACAAACTGTCTGCTGTGTGTGTCCCTGAGGGGAAGGAGGCTGCGGGGCCCAGGGGCTGAGGCCCTGCAGGAGCTGACAAGAGTCCAAAGGGGACAGACTAACATGCCCCCGGCTGCCGCAGCCTGCTCCCAGGCCCCTGTCCAGTTAAGGGGGACACCGCTGGGGCCAGGGGGGCAGGCAGCAGTGACCCGTGTTCCCCAGGAAGTGGCCGGCGGAGCCATCTTCTCTCTCTGGGGCCTGATCACTTCCCTATTGGTCCCGATTATTACTTTTCCTGTTTGACCTTCGGAACGTCCCCCAAGCCGTTAGCTGCGCAGTTCTCTGTACTAAAATGTTCTCCCCACTATGGCTGCTCGGTGGGGGTGGGGGCGGTAGCTGCGAGTCCGGTGCAGGTGGGGGGGTTGGGGTGGGGCTGTGTCCTGCAGTCCAGGCTTGTGGCTCCCAAACTTGGGTTTCATTTTCACCGTTCCGAGGCAAAACTCGAGAAGCATGCATGGTTGCAATGTGGTTCCGAAGCCCAGCGCATAGTGCCTTGAAGGGGCCGTCCTTCACGGAGGGGTCGTAGTGAAAGGTCCTGGGCTAAGAGCTGTGTGTGTTTGCCTTATGAAGTAAAGGTACGGCAACCCCAAGCCCATTCCCCAAATTTGGGGGTGGGGCGGGGCAGGTGTCCTGTTGGTGAGACCAGGGCCGGGGAGCATTGCTGGAGACTCCTGGGTAGCTTCCGCAGAGCTAAACCCTCCCCTCATCCATACTCGAAGCCCCCTTCCTGTTGGCGGTTAATCCCGTTAACCCCCAGGTTTGAGGCAGAAAAGCGCTGGCTCTGGAGGCCCCCCATCCTGGGAGGGAGCTCCTGGCTTCCTGCCCTTCCTTCCAGCCTGTCAGCAGCAACGGGCTGGCAGCACCCCAGATTTCAGCCGAGCATGTGTGCTGGCGTCTGTCCCAGCACCTGTGGGTGGGGAAGGTGGCTCTTCTCTGTGCGTGGTGGGAATTCAGGGGCCTTGGCCCACACCCCCCATCTCTGGGGCTTGGAGCAGGAGGCCCTGGCCTGGCGGGTGCCTGGGCCAGAGCAGAGTCTGTGTTCCCTCCGGCCCCTGGGGAGAGGTGCCTCACTGTGGGTTCCTTCCCGGAGGTTACACAGGGCCTGTTCCCCAAGGGCTGTGGAAAAAGCACGGCAGTCACCTCACTAAAGAATATTCATTTATTTATAATTATTGCTAAGTAAACTTCTCTTTTAAACAGGAACATGAAAACACAGTAGGGCTTTGCACAAGTGGAATTTCTAAACAGTTGGTTTGTATACACGTCAAAATAAGTTAGAGTGGGATTTGTCCAGGGGTCTCCCAAGTCACCCGAGAGGCAGCGTGCCTCTTTGGAAAAAGTTGGGGAGGGGCGGGGACAGGAGCCTTGCCAAGACTAGACATTCCCCCCCCCCCTTTGCAAATCGTTGTGCTGTTGCCTTCTCGTAGCTCTGCCTAGGTCCAAGGCACAGGGCAGGGGGCAGGCATTCAAGTATAGAACCTCACAGAGGGCCAGGGCTGATGGCAGGGCGGGGCGAGGAGAGCAGAGGCCCCACCCTGGAGACCAGACCTTTGCCCTTCCGTTTCCAAGACCAAGGCCATGGCGCTGGCAGGAGGGAGGAGCAGGAGGTACAGGGTGCTTTTTGGTACCAGGGGAAAAAGACATTGTGGGAAGAGGTAGTTTGCGGGGGTGATACCTTCTGCTCAGCAGGAGAAAATGGTCTTCTACAGTGACGGGGAGTGGGGAGGGGGAGTCACTGCCACCTGAGGATCATCGTGTGGGCACCAGGGAGGCCGGTGGCCACAGGGTCTGGGGAGCCATCTCTAGGGAGAAGCTCCTATGAGCCCCGGCCCTTTCCCATGCTGCTCAGCATGTGCTCCAGCAGAGAAGGGGCCACCTGGGACCCAGTGTGCCCCTTCACTTATGGGGACAGCCTGGGGGTGGCTGCTTCTCAAATGGGTTCCCCCAGCTGTCGCCTTTCTCCTGGTTTCTGGGCTGAACCTGGAGGCTTCCATCCTCTGTGCCTTGGGGGAGGCCCTGCCTGCCCTCCCACCCCACAGAAGCCTCAGGAGGCGCCTTGTGTGAGTGAGAGGGTCTTGGTGCCTAGAGTTCCTGAATGTGCTATTTCCTGCGCCGGGAGAACAGAAGGGAGGAGGAGCCGCGAGGTGAGCTGCAGGGGCGGAGGGCCTGCCTCCGGCTGCCTCTTCCTGCCAGTGTGCAGCCAGGTGGGGGGGTGCACTCAGCAGGCACAGCACAGCACAGCAGAGAGCTGGGGTTGGGAAAAGAAAATGCATCCCCATCAGGAGAGATAATGGGCAACAGAATTGGAAAGAGAACAAACAAACAATAAGTTAACTTCATCAAAATTCCCCCAATTGCTCAGAAAAAAAAATTGTTTTTTTCTTCTTTGATATGGTCTTCGTTCTCCTTTTGACATCTGCTCGTCCCACGGAGCCTGTAGGCTATCTCCAGCCTCAAAACAGAGACTTGCTAGTCAGTACTGTTGCCTAGTCCCGGCCCCCCCGCACCCCACAGGTGGTCCCTGGCCTTCCCGAGGCAGCCCCCCACCTCTTGTCCTGCCCCACCCTCACTTCAGGGGCCTCCATCAGTCTGTCTGCTCTGGTCATGCCAGAGGTCCCCGTGTGCTGCCCCAGCTCAGCACCCAGACGAGATCAAAGCTGCTGAACGAGACTGTGGTGGGGCGGGGGCGGGTCGGAAAAGCACTTTCACACAGAGCAGGCAGGCACAGGCCTCTGGGGGCGTGGATGTTGCCGGTGGGGGTACAACACCCCACTTTTCTGCAGGCAGGGGCTGAGCCAAGCGCACGCTTCCACCTGGCTCAGGAGAGTGGGGGCACCTGGAGGTAGACGGCAGGGTGTCCTGCCTGGCTGTCAGGGGCAGGGTGGGGAAGAGGATCCCCAGGCGGGGCCTTTCACAGCACAAGGGCCGAGGAGGCTTGGGGTCAGTGCTGGCCAATACAGGCCAGCCATCCCTAGAGGCAGGAGTTGGCCATGAAGACAAACAAAGCATGGCTCAAGTGACTTATCCTCCAGTGTCAGTGGGGCCAGGGCCCCCAAAGAGCCAGCACTGGCTGCTGGGCCTGAGAGAGGAGACCCCCAAAGAGGCTGTGTGTCCTTGTGATCCTTCACAACATGGCCCCATCAGCATTCCCCTCCCACACCCAGCAGCAACCCAAGGGCCTCCCTGTTCTCCCTCTCTTTCCCGGGAGCCTCAGGCTGGGCCTGCTTCACAGGGAGGCCACTAGTAGTTTCCATTTGGTCTCAAAGTCCCCAGTGGTACAAACAACTTGAGAGGTGGGGTGGGGTGGGGGGACACAGGGCAGTGGGGTAGTAGCTTGTTGCTCAGCTGCAGGTGTGTTGTGCAGTGTGCCTGGCTGCCCCCCACCTCCACCCCCCAGGGGCAGCCGCACGTGCTATAGCACGTTGTAGTAGGCCGGGTCGCTGAGGACGCTGGCCTCCGTGTTGCTGTCCACGCCTGCGTAGGCGTAGGCGTTCTCCTGGAAGTCCTCCATCTGCTGGCTGTCGAGCAACGAGGGGTCGGTGCCCGTCAGCTCCATCATGGGGTCTGCGAAGAGAGCGGGCACAGTTAAGCCTGCGTGGCTCCTCCCTGGGGTAGCCCGCCACCCCTGCCTCGGGAAGCTGGAGATCGTTTGAAGACAAGATTTCCCAGCCACAGCTTCCAGAGGGTTCCCTGCAACCTTCCACGGTTTCCAACCCAGGAGTCACCTCAGATGGGTCCACCAGGACCCACCGCCGAAACCGCTGTGTATTTGGGGTGGGACCCTCACGGGAGCCCAGCAAGCTTGGCTTTAAAGTCCTCTTCGGATGATGCCCCTTGGCGCCTCCTAAGTCACCTGTGAACTGCTGCTAGCGGCCACTGACTGACGTTCAGCAACTCCACGCCCAAAGGGAACCACATGCCACCCGGCCCCGCGCCATTCCCAGGGCCATTGGTCAGATGGGGTGTCATACGATGCCGCTTTCCTCGGCTGATGTTCTGAGTTAGAGCGCCAGGCCTCTCTTCCTAGTCCTGGCAGCACGCTGAAACCGGTTCAGCATCAGAGCCACCTACCAGCCTCTGCTGACACATGAGGGGGGTGGCAGCACGGAGGTGCCCTGGCCAGGAACTGAACCCAGGTCTTCCGCGCAGACGGTGAGAATGTGCCACTGGACCACCACTGCCACCCCCTCCACCGGTCACTGTGGTCCTTTAGTCTCCCTGTCACCCGGACCCCACGTGAGCAGGGGTGAGCACCCAGGGGTTCTGAGGCTGCAGCTTTTCAGAAGCAGGTGGTCAGCCAGTCTTCCAAGGCACCTCAGGGTGGGCTTGGACCACCACCTAAGGGCCACCCAGGGACTCCCCCAACGGCACCAAGCCCTCGTGGGCAGTTAGCCTCAGACACCCTTGTCAGTGAGAGCCCGCGGCACCACGCCCCTCTGCCTTCTCCCTTGGCCCTCACTGCACGCACCGGCCTGGGCCCGCGCTCCAGAGCGGCTGCGCTTCTCCTGTGCTGGCCTGCCTCCAAACAGTGGAGGCCGAGGGGCTCCCCACCTCCTGCCCTCCTCTCTCTGAGAACAAACAAAAACCTCAGGTAAGCTACCAAAGGTGCCTGAAGCGAGTAAGCGCTCGTGAGGGAAGTGCAACCCTGCCGGGACGCAGTTACTGCTGTGTGTACGTGTGTGGTCATGGTTTGAGCCTGACTGTCTCCCCGCCTACAGGCTGCCTGTTGGAACCCACCCACGACACCGGGAAGAAAGAAGGCTTGGTGACCTGCTTCTGTATAGACTCCCAACCACACCCCACCACCACCCAGTCCATCCCGACCCATAGCGACCCTACAGGACAGGGTGGAGCTGCCCTGGTGGGTTTCCGAGCCGGTAACATGATAGGAGTAGAAAGCTTCATTTTTTCCTAAGGAGCAGCTGGTGGTTTTGAACTGCTGACTTTGCGGTTAGTGGCCCAACACAGGAGGCCCGGCTGCCTTCCAGTGAATTACAGGAGAAGGACCAGTGCACGGGCTGGGAATCCTGGGAGCCGGGCTCGGCAGTGCGCTGAGGAGGAGATGGGGATGTGTTTTGGGGAGGAAGCAGACCTCAGTTAGGGGCTGGTCCCTGGCAAGTCAAAGGCAGGGTTTTAAAACCTCAGCACTCCTGGCATTTTGGTGTGGGCGTCTGTGGATGGCTGCCCCTGCATAACTGTGACGAACACAGGTCTCCAGACCTGTCTGCTGAGGGTGGACGGACAGGCCGGCAAAACCATCGATGATCAGGGACCTCAGGGGAACCCCACTCCTCTTGGCAGCGAGTGGTTCAGGATGGGCTCATGAGCAGGTGGGTTCCTCCGTCCCTCACTGAATGTACAGGAAGAAGCACAGTGTGCTGACACTGGCAGCCGCTTTGTGACCATGAGGACACCACCCCAACCCGGCTCTGCCACCATTGTGGAGTGGCTGAGCAGCCAGCTCTGAGGATGGCTGGGTGTTAGGCCGCTTCTCCAATTTCCTGATTGCTGAAGCCGGTGTGAAGGAAGTATCTGTGCTTGTGCCCAAAGCCTCATGGCACCCTCTCCAGGCTTGCTGCCAACTGTCTTAAATCCTAGTGCCACACCCTCATACTGGACAACTCACTAGAAAAAGGTGCTCAAGAAAGCACCCAGGGAAAAGTCCTACCTCTGGTCCTGCCCCATACCCGGACCTGACTTACACGTGTTAACTCTAGTGGCCCCACCCAGCTGACCACCGACCACAGGGAGTGAGTCTTCTACCAGGACAACCGTCCCGTCTGTTGACCCACCTCCAGTGACAGCCATCGCTTACTCAGACTCCTGTCCTCAAGTTGGTTCCCACTCAGCGACCTAGAGGCTTAGTGGGTTACATGGGTGGGCTGCTAACCACAAGGTCAGCAGTTCGAAACCACCAGCCATTTGGAGTGAGATAGACCAGGCTTCTTTCTACCCCCACGAAGAGTTACGGCCCTGGAACCTCCCAGTGGCAGTTCTGCTCTGTTCCAAGCCGCCCACGACAGCGGGCTGCCTTGAGTCGGATGGCTTTTGCAGGTCTTCGGAGAACGCATGGTGCCTTCCTCCTGGATAAATGTCAAGGTTAGGCTTCCCAGATCCAGGTGCTGGGTGAGAGGCAGGCCGGCTGGAGCCAGAGCCATTCCAGGGCCAGCCTGTCCCTCCCCCTCACCTGGGAGAAAGCAGTCTGCCGCAGACTGCTGGAGGGAGAGGTCTCCTCCGGAGTCCCGGTGGCATCGTGATTACATGTTGAGCTGTGGGCCTCTGGGGAGAAAGGGCTTTCTGCACCCCTAAAATGTCAGACAGTTTCTAACTCAGAAACCTGCAGGGAAGTTCTACCCTGTCCTGTCCTCTAGAGCCAGGTGGAGTCAGCAGTGACTCCATGGTAGGGAGGTGGGTGTGGATTCCTAACAGGACTGGTTCCTCGCTCCACATGTCCTGCCTGGTGGTTCCCTTGCGCCACTCTCCAAGAACAAAATGATGAAGGTGCTTGTCATTGTTCGTGGGGGAGCTTGTACCTTAGAGGCCCTCCCCCCCCTCCCCCAAGTCACTCCTTCCTCCCATGAGAGCAAGGTGTGGAGGGGCAGTCTTTTGATGGCTTTAGTTATTTCCAACAGGGCACGTTCTGCTCCTCGTCCTCCTGGTGGGTCAGGTGCGAGGCAGGTCCTCTTAGAGTAAGACGCTCGGACTCTGCTCTACACTAGAACTGCTGAAAGAACTGTCAGAGTCCCTGCGGATCCGTGTCAATGGCTAAACTCTCGGCCCCTAACTTAATGGTGGTGGTTTGAGTCCCTGCCCCAGCACCAGGGAGAAAGGGCTGGAGACTTGACTTTGCAAAACGCAGCCATTTGAAACGACGGCATTCAGTTCTACGTTGGCACACGGGATTGCCACGGAATTGATAGCAAGCGTGACATCTCCCCGCCCTGCAGATCAGCAGCAATGGAATCTCTAGGCATTTTCCAGGGCCCAGGCAATGCTCACGTGGCAGCTGAGTTTGAGCGCCAGTCCTGCAGTCTGGATCGAGGGACCTCTAAGTGAGGGTGCTGAGCCTGCAGCAGCAGCATCACCTGGAGACGCATGCTCTTGGGTCCCAACGACTATACCAGGAACCCCGTGGTGTGGTCCCCTACGTAATGCTCAAGGCAGAGACCCACCGTGGCCCTAGTTCAGGCCTCCCGCACTTCATTGTGGACAGAGACCACCTAGGGACCTATTTTGAAGGAGGGCGGAGAGTCTACATGGCTACAAGACCCTAGGTCATTCCAGTGTGGTCAGAACTCCTACGTTTGTTTCAAGGAGCACAAAGCTAGAGAGGGCACTTGTATGCAGCCAGCTGTGTCTCATCCTCCCAGACCAGGGGCACCTCTAATACCGCCCCCCTCACCAAAAAAACAAAAACAGAAACCCCAAACCCACTGTCATGGAGTTGATGCTGACTCATAGCGACCCACAGGATGGGAGAACAGCCCGTGATTGTAACTCCTTAGGGGAGTATACAGCCCATCTTTCTCCCGAGCACCTTTAATAAACAAATGCGAAACAGAAGAGAGCACCTACTTTTGTCAGAACACCTAGACCAGGTGTCCTCAAACTACTGCCCGCGGGCCACATGCTGCCCACAGAGGACATTTATCTAGCCCGCCAGGTGTTTTTGCCCCGTTTGTCTTTTTACTTCAAAATAAGATATGTGCAGTGTGCACAGGAATTTGTTCATAATTTTTTTTTTCAACTATAGTCCAGCCCTCCAACAGATCTGTTTAAAAAGCTGAGGACCCCTGCCCTAGACCATTCATCACCAGGCAACTGCTCCAAGACCAAAGTCGGGGACTGCACGCCTTCCCCAGCAGTGGAGCCCATATGTCAAGTGGACTTGATTTCAGGGCATGCTCCTGGCCAGGTGGCTCAGATGGGGCACCAGAAAGTCAAGTGGCCCCCAAGGGCACAAGGAGCCATCCTAACGGGCATTCAGTGACCCTCCTTGAAGGGCCTTCTCCAGGCCAGAGAGCCTGGCTGTTGGCTCTGGCAGAGCCTGACAGAGAGGCCTTTCCTCAGTGTTGACCAGCACTGAGGAGCCAGGCTACCTCTTTGCTTATGACAAACAGCCCAGGGTGGTTGCCCTCTGACAAGACAAGCACGGGCTGCTAATCTGCAGCAGACATGCTTTTTGCCATATCCCCGTTTGTCCGCCACAGATTAGAAACTGTTTACGAGAGACTGGGAAACAGGTTCAGGTAAGCCTGTGCTTACCTGGCTTGTTGGGTAATCTAACACACAAGAGCTCCATGACTCCTACCTACCAACGGCTGATGTGTAGGTTTCTTTCTGGAAGCTTCTCCCAGACCTTAATGGCAGCGCCCCCCCCAACCCCCCCTCCTGACTGAGGGCTTACTCTCTGATAGGCACTGGGCGCAGGGGGACTGGGAGTCTGACGCTCTCTGCCTTGGCTGCTGGGAAGAAGCTCAAGAGCGCGTCTTTGGCATCCACGGTGCTCTTGCACGGTGACCTCACCAGACTCCCTTACTTTTGCAGCTACCATCCCCTCTTTCTACTCCCCCTCACCCACCCACCACCCACCCCCACCCCCACCGCTTTTCAATGCTCTCTTTAATTGCAGTGAAATGACATGTTGACTACTTCCTGGGTGTTGAATTGGGCACGAGTGAACTAAGCATTCTGAGCTTTAATTTCGGCATCTGTCAAAGGAGGACAACCGAGCCCACCTCTTGGTGAGGATCACATGAGTTAATAAAAGCCTGGCACACAGTTAGCACTCAATAACCATTAGTGATTCTTTTTATTATTGTTATGTCAGCCCACGTAAGTCTTTTGAAGAATACATAAATAGCCCGTCGTTATCAGCACAATGGCCCTCCAGGGTCCCCCCTCTCCAGACCTGCGCCGTACCCCTCGTGAGCCTCCCCACTTCCCCAGCTGGACAGGAGGCTCCTGAGTGCACCGTGAGGGGACCGCTCCTGCCCCGGCCGCCACGTGTGGCCCACCCACCTTGGCTGTCCAGGCCGATGTCCATGACGCCATGCTTGACCTTCATGTGCCGGCTCAGGTTGCCCTTGAGGTTAAACTTGCTAGAGCAGTAAGGGCATTTGAAGGGCTTGCTGCCCGCATGCAGGTGCATGTGGCCCAGCAAGTTGTACATGCGGTTGAAGGACTTCCCACACACCTGGAACACACCGAACAGGTGTCATTAGCCCATGGGAGCCCGCCCCACCCCCTGGGCCCTCGGTCTACCCCCACCCCCGCCACGGCTGGGTGGGAATCCCACTTTCTATGCAGAATGCTAACTTGGTTCTTTGCTATGTGGCCCTAGAGGCTGGAGAGGGAGAGAAACAAGGTGCTCCTTGCCACTGTTCCCATGGCCTGCCTTGGAGTTGGCAGAACCCAGGCTCGGGTCTCTGACTGCGCCGTGCCTGATGCCCGACATTTTCACTGTGGCTGTACAGGGACCCCCAGTCCCTCCCCAGCATTCAAGAAGCACAGCTTCAGCAGCTTCCAGGATTTGAACCCCAACCTCATCCACGCCAATGCCCAGGGCCCACACAACATTTCAGCCACCCATGGCTCCCCTTGCGCCACACTGGCCAGGCCACCTTACGGGGGCCTGCCCGGCGTACACGGGGCCTGCCCGCCGTACCTTGCATTTGAATGGCTTGACGGGCGAGTGTACAATCATGTGGGTCTTGAGGGTCTGCTTCTGCACGAAGGTCTTGAAGCAGATGTGGCATTGGTAGGGCCGCACACTGGTGTGGATCAGCATGTGCCGCTTCATGTTGGCCTGCAGCGTGAACTCCCGGCCGCAGACTTCACACTTGAACTCCTTCACGCCCTGCGGAGGTGGGGCCAGGGGTCAGGGCCACAGGAAGTGACCCTCCTGGGGGTGGTGTCAGGGTTGCAGTGCTACGCACAGCTCTCTGGGTCATTTCTGAACCAGTATGACTGATCGAAAGCCACTGGGAGGACAGGTAGTGCCCAGGGAAGGATACTGTCATGATGGCCACTGGGCATGTGTCAAAATCAACAGGGCTGTAGCATGGAGGGAAGCCTAAATCACACCGTGGCCTCTACTTCGCCATGACTTGTTAGTGCTGACTCCTCATTTGTGTGACATGTACCACGTTCACGTAACACGCTATTGGGGGGCCACGCGCGTGTGGGGATGAGATGGGAACTCTGTACTTGCCATACTATTTTTTCTGTAAACCCAAACTGGCTCCAAAAAAATGCCAGTTGCCATCGCTCCTGGCTCCCAGCGGCCCGTGCACGACTGCTCGGTAGGCATTTTGCCCCAGGCATCACAAGGGGAGAACGTGTTGGGGCAGCAGGGCTGCTTGCTCCTCTCCACCTCAGGCAGAACCACAAACCTTCAGGGCTGGGTGGCATTTTAAGAGTTTTCAAGTCCCGAGAGCCTGCCCACTGACGCCGCCCTGGGAGCATTTCATCCGCTTTCCTGCTGAGACCCACCTGTGGCCTCATGACTGCAGCTTCCAGCCCTCTCTCTGGAAATCCCCATGCAGTGAGGGGGTGCCTGGGATGGGGCCCAGGGCTTTGTTTCCTCCCCAGCAGGTTCCCTGGCAGGGGTCTTAATGAGCACAGTAGTTGGGGAACTTAAGTTCCAAACGACACAGACCCGGGTGCAAACCCTCGTGTGGACAGTGCCCAGGCTTCCCCTCATCGACACCTTCCCTCGGCAGAGGGCGCTGTGCACACGGGGCGTCCACCTCACTGACGTCTGAGGATGAAAGCTGGGCCTGTTCCCTCTGCTGAGTGAGGGACCGAGCAGAGACCCAGAGGGACAGGCACGTGTCCGCTATGGTCAGAGCTGCTTGTTCGATGCAAATTTGATTGAACAGTTCCTCAGTCCGCCTCTTTCTCACACTGGGCAGGGATTCCTGCGGGCCAGTGGCTGTGCCCAGTATCATTTGCCCACTTGACACACTGCACCTGGGGGGAGTTTACTCGAGTACAAATTGAGGTTGATGATAAGGAATACTTTCATTTTCATCAGCCTTTGCTTTCTGAATTTTCTTGATAGTAATACTCGTCTCTTTAACACTGAGCACAAGTGGAGAAATATGGCAAGCATTTAGTATACAGGCTATAACCCTGCACTCTTGCAGACATCAATAATCACTCATAAAGGTTTACTGCGGAGCCCAGATTCAGCTTCAGAATCCCTCTTACTATTATGCTCTAGGCAGCTTCTCTGAGCCTGCTGGAGGAGACACAGATGATCACACGTACAAACCGCCCTCGGCTCTTGCAGAAACCGTCCCCAGGGGTGGGGAAAGCTGGAGTCCTGGCCTGGCAGGCTGTTGCTTCTCCACTCGCTCGAGTGTCCACTGTGAGACAGAAGGGCCTACGTTTGACCTGGAGTCTCACTAGGGCCCCGCTGCGCATCACTGAGGGAACCCATAGACACGTGCAGCTGTGGAGAAGTAACCTAGCCTCGAGGCTGCCAAGTGCCAGAGTGAGAGCCAGCCGTAAATGGTTCCTGGAATCCAGGAAAGTGTGGAATTCTGTGCCGCCTGTCTTCTATAGACCCTCTGTGCTTCTCACCGCTCCTGTGATCAGTTCCAAACGCTCCGCCAAGAACCTACGAAACAACTTGCTGCTGGCCCGTGTCCCCTGTCAGCCTCATAGCACCACCGCTGGTCCCTTCCCGAGTCAGCTCACACCAGGTGCCTGGGCAGGAGGCCTCTTTAGGAGGTGATGCGGCTGGAGGCTGGGTGGCTAGTGGCCCCAGGGAGGGCGTGGCACACAGGACAGACCAGCAGAGGGGTGATGGCTGGCACAGGAATATGGTGGGTTGGAGCGGCGCTGCTCACTGTTCTGTCTCCACAAAGCCCTCCGTCTAGTTCCTCCACGTCCTGGGGACCACGAGCGCCTTCCCCAGACAGGCTTTTCCCGACATCTATGCCGCCGGAAATGAAACAGGAACTGCCCTATCCACTTCTGGAGCACCCTCGTAGGTGAAGCTTTTTGCCCAAGGGCCGTCTGTGAAGTCCCGGGTTTCCAGATGCTTCTGCCAGGCAGCCCTCTTGCCCTCTGACCATTTTGCCCAGAGCCCTGTGGCCACTCTCCGGCCTCAGTTCTCCCGTCTGTAAAAGAGGGAGGGCGGGCTGCTTCAAACTCGCTCGCTCGCCGATTTCAACTCACAGCACCCCTACAGGACCGGGGAGAACTGCCCCTCAGGGTGTCCAAGACAGTAAGTCAGGGGTCCTCAAACTACGGCCCGCGGGCCACATGTGGCCCACAGAGGACGTTTATCCGGCCCGCTGGGTGTTTTTGCCCCGTTTGTTTTTTAACTTCAAAATAAGATATGTGCAGTGTGCATAGGAATTTGTTCATAGTTTTTTTTACAACTATAGTCGGCCCTCCAACGGGTCTGAGGGACAGTGAACTGGCCCCGTTTAAAAAGTCACGGATTACAAAGCCTCTTCTTCCTCTCACGGAGCGGCTTATCGTTTTGAACCACCAACCTGTGGTTGGCAGGCCGACGCGTCATCTCCCACACCACCAGGGCTCCTTTTTGCGCGGCGCTAGTGATTCTCCAGACGTATTCCTTAGGCCCTTCAGGGATTCTTTAAACACTGGATTTAAACCAGGGGGTGGTGGTGAATAAACAGGGCTTCGCTATTGTAAGGAGCCATATTTCAAGGACCGTTTTCTTTGTTGTTTAAACACCTGTCCGAATGGACATCCATCCAACTATAAGAAAAGGGAGTGTCCGTCCATGTAACACCCCCACCCCGGCCCCCAGCCCTGTCCTGGGGCGGCTCCCGCTCTGCAGGGCCTTACCTTGTGGGTGAGCGAGTGCTGCTTGAGGTGGTGGATCTGGCTGAACTCCATGCCGCACTCGGTGCACACGAAGGGCCTCACGTTCTGGTGCTTCAGCATGTGGTTCTGCAGCTGGCTGCGGTAGTGGAAGGACTTGTCGCACTCCAGGCACTGGTAGAGGGTGGGGCCCTGGTGGGAGGCCAGGTGGCGCTTGAGCTGGGTCAGGGTGGAGAAGTCCAGGCCGCACTCCACGCAGACGTGGCAGCGGCCGCTCTCGTGCTTCACCTCGTGGGCCTTGAGCTCGCTGGGGTAGGCGAAGCCGCGGCCGCAGAAGTGGCAGCTGTAGGGCTTGACCTCCGAGTGCAGCAGCATGTGGCGCTTGAGGTGGCTGGTCTGCGTGAAGGCCTTGTGGCACACCTGGCACTTGTGGGGCCGCGTGCCCTGGTGCGTCAGCAGGTGCGTCTGCAGGTGGCTGGGCTGTTTGAAGAGCTTGCCGCAGTGCGGGCACGAGTGCGGCTTGATGCCGTTGTGGCCCAGGATGTGCGTCACCAGGTTGTACTTGGACGTGTACGACTTCTCGCACATGCGGCACTGCCAGCGCTTCTGCCGGTCGCCCGCCTCCACCAGGTAGGAGTCGTCGATCTGCACGTTGATGTCCAGGCGGTCCAGCTGCGCCTTCTTGTGGCGCTCCACCGTCGAGCCCGCCGGGTCCGCCTCGAGCTCAGCCGCCTCCTGCCACACGAAGCCCTGCTCCGGCTTCGCGGGCTCCGGGGACTCCATGGTGGGCGCCTCGGGGTCACTCAGGGGCGGCGGCTTGAAGCCACACTCAGCGGGCATGGGCTCGGCCCCGGGCAGCACCACGCTGGGCTCTGGGTAACTATCCAGGGTCGGGCCAGGGAAGTGAGGGTCATAGGGGGCCACCTCCAGCTCGGGCCGCGGGGTCCGGGGCAGGTGCCGGAGCGTCCGGGGCTTGCGACTGAAGGCGCTGAGGTCAATCATCTTGACGGAGCTGCTTTGAACTAGGGCCTCGCCACCGGCAGCCTCCTGTGCAGGGGCGTCTGGGGGCCCCGCCTCCTTGTTATCTCCGGCCACGGACACCTCGTACACCTCCTGCTCCTCCTCCTCCACCTTCTCAAACTTGACTTTGGGCACCAGCCGCACGGGTGGCCGCGTCTTCCGCCGGGTGTGCTTCTCGAAGGCGGCCTCCACCTCCAGCACCTCCTCCTCCTCCACCGGCCCCTCCAGGGCCTGCCCGTTGCAGGCCAGCTGGTAGACATCGGCGCCTGGCAGTCCCGGGTCCCCCAGGGCTGGCCCGGACAGCTCGGGCACCAGGTCCGGGTAGAAGGCATCAGCGCTTATCGTGGCTCCAAAGAGCTCATTCTCCGAGACCAGGCCCAGCACGGCGGCCTGAGCCAAGGACAGCACCACCACGGCGTCCGTCTGCGTCCCTGAGTCCATGAAACCCTCCATCCCGCGGCGGCCGGCTAGGAGGCCATCACTGTGGGAGGAAGACGGGGCCATTAGTACGGCTGGCTCGCTCAGCGGTGGGAGTGTGAGGGCCCAACGGCTGTCTACCCCTGCTTGTGGTTACAAGGAGCAGCTCGGGGAAGTCCTGCCCTTGTCAGCCTGTCCCCACCACCCACTCCTGAATGCCGGGAGGATGGACTTGTTCAGTGGTTCTCAAGCTGCTCTCTGGGGTTCCTCGAAAAATCCCTAATCAAAAAAACTTCTCCTAGTCACAAAACCCATCTACTCCGACCCCGTGCATCGCCCGCAACACATCACACAGGGCCTGCATCTGCCCCCACGGCCATCTCTGCAGAGGCAGGGTCCGTGGTGGCCCTTTTTGAAAAATACTGGTGTGAGTGTTGGGGGGGATGGGGAGGCATTCAACACACAACAAAACAACATCAGAAAATAAATCCAACCAGGAGGCGGATCTCAGATATTGGCCACCCTGTATTTGCCCCGCCTGGGAGCCAGTGCCCATCCAAGCAGGCCCATGCTCTCGATTCGTGGACAGCTACCATCTAATATCTAAAGTGACGCCTGTCAGTGATTCACCTTTTGTGAATTGGCACACTGGAGGTCCTCGTGAGAAAGACCTGATTGGAAAGGAGGGCCTTTGTGGGGACCACCGTCCGCGAGGAGGGCTGACCCGGACACCCGTGGCCTCTCATTGAACGTGACACCAACCAGCCGCTGTCCACTGTCTCCCACGGTGGCAGCCTCACTTACATGGGCAGAACAGTTCCCATGCTCGGGGGCTGTTGACCAGGATTTTCTCCCGCTGCGCCCTCTGGTATACTCGCCCCTCACCTTCCGGTGAGCACAGGTGTGTCTGAAGACACTCATCCAGGTCCAAACCTGGCTCTTCCCTTTCTGTGGGTCCCAGCTGCATCGATACACAGATCAGTCCCCCGAGTGCTCTAGACACCCCCACCTGTGTGGACACTGCTTCCTCTTCCTGTGGTGCCCTCTCCTTGTCCCTATGGGCTCCTCCTGCTCCTCTCTGTCCCTGGGCACCCCGGCACCCCTCCCTGGCCTACTTGTGTGGACCACCCCTGCAGGTCTCCCAGTTCCCCAGGACTGGCTGTGCCACCGTGAGAAGTGACTGGCCAGGGTGGGTCCTCGAGTGAGGCTGCCCGGCCCTGGCAGCCCTTCCTCAGGAAACCCACGCAAGCTGCCCCCAGTGCCCGCCTCCCCCACAGCCTAGGGTAGCCTTCCCTTTCTGAGGCCGGCTAAAAATACCCCAGACAGGAATTAGCCTCCTTGAAACAGACACTAAAGATTAAACTATTCAGCTTAAAATGGGGTCTTGAAGGAATCTTTGACTCGGGGCTCGGGGTCCCTCTGGAACAGGCCAGGGAGGCTACGTCCTTCAGAATCCGCACCTGGGCAGTCTGGCCCCAAGTCCTGGTGGCACCAGGACTAGCTGTGTGATGAGGCAAAACCATTTCTATTTTTTTAAAAAAAGCCTCGGTTTCCCCATCCACAAAACGGGGCCGAACATCGACGTACAGAACAGCTGCTAAGCGCCCTAACACAGGTGCACGGTCTTCCTTTACTCATAAATGTGAAGAACGGGACTACACGTCTGCCCAGAAAACCTTCTCTGAGGAAAGCCACAGAGAGGAGAGGTTTCTCCACTGAGGTCCCAGAGCCTCCAAACGCCTCAGTGATGGAGGACAGCCTCAGGGACTCGGAGAACGCATTCATTCATTCATTCATTCATTCATTCAGCAAAGACTTCAGTCCCAGCAATGAGAGATATGCATGGCTCTCCCAGAGCCAGCACAGCCATGGGTTTTCTGAGCTAGCCCCCATGGTGGCCGGCCTGTGATGCAGCCCCCGGCGGCAGCCCACGTGTCCCTGGTGGCTCTGCACAAACACTGGGCTCAGCATTTTGGAGATGAGCACCCCGACCAGCCCTGGAGGAACCGATCGCCCACAGCACAGCCTGTGAAAGTCCCTGGCACACAATCTGGGGTGCAAAGCCAGGCACCACCATGTGACCCTGGGTGTGTCCCCAAGCCTCAGTTTCCTCCCCGGTACACAGAGGAGAGTGTGCCTGAGGCAGGTGGCCCAACAGCACTGTGGGTTACAGCAGCCTGACCCCACCGAGGGCCTGCTCCTGTGAAGAGTGGCGGCCATCAACTTGGGTGAACATCAGCCGCCACCCCGGGAACGTGAAGGTAGAGGCGCCAGGGAAGCCGGCCAGCTGTGGAAGAGTGACCATGTGATTTATTGTCCAAATGGACCTACGAGCGAGAGCGAAAGCGGCCATCACTAAGGATGGCAGTGGGCACCAGGTGCAAACCAAGCTCGCCGTGTACCCTGGCAGGGCCAGCTGGACGGACCCTCCCGGCAGCAAGGTGTTTGGTGGGGGTGCTGTGGAGTGGAGCGGTACTTTTGTGGCAGGGCTTGGGGTGGGTAAATGGGGTGCCCAGAGTCTTTGCTCTGGAGGGGTTTGTGCCCACGGATGGGGGCACAGAAAACACGTCACAGGCACAGACAGGTGCGCCCGCTAAGCTTCTGCTTAGAGAGTGCTCCGCAGGTCCCAGGTGGGGCATTTGATCCTCAGATCATCCTGTGGGGGTGTTCTCTCCCAGGCCGATGAATGTTTGGGATTGCCTGGTTAAGCCTGTCTGGCCCCCACTCAGCCTGCTCCAGGCTCTTTACCTCCATCTCTTCAGGGGGCTGCCCAGCTGGCCTCGAGGTTATGGGGAGCCGGCCCTGGGCTGCTCTGGCTGGCTGGTCAGGCCCACAGGCAGACGCAGGGTCTGGGGCACCTGAGGACAATCACACTCGTGCCTTGGTGACCAGGCGGGAGCGTACAGACACTTCCTGGAAGCCTGCCCTGACCTGTCTGCCTGCTGGGCCCTGCTTTCCTCCCTGCTGGACCAATGCCTGTAGGTGGGCAGGGGAAGGGCTGGGGAGGCCTGGGCTGGACCTTGTGTTCATCCTGTGCTTCTGGGGCAGAGGCTGGCAGCAGGGTGGGGGTGAGGGGGCTCTCTTTCCTGGTCTCCCACCCCACCCCAGGCTCCAGCCCTGGGGCTGCATGGGGCAGAAGGGCCTGCCAGGGGCGCGCCACTTGTGTGCCAGGGCAGCCCAGCCCCATGCCTTCAAGCAGCTCTTGCCAAGGGCTGGGCTGAGGTCCCTGGGCAGACCCTCCTCCTCAGGGTGGGGCCTGTCAGCGTCCAGGAGAGCAGGCTGCAGACAGCTCAGCTCAGAGCCTGGTGCCCGGGCTCCTCCTCCCACTAGCACCCTTGGTCCCCAGGGCAGAGAGAGAGTAAATGTTAGAGGCCTGATTGTAGTTTAAAGACTTGTGCTGGGAGTGGGGGGAAGGGAGGCCACAGGAAGGAGAGTGGGTGGGCAGGAGAGGGAGAAGAGGAATGAACAGGCAGGGAAGGAAGGGGGAGAGGCGGAAGCCTGATTGAGCAGGGAGGGAAGGAAGGAGGGAAGGAGGGAGGGAGGGAGGCTGTGGAGGCCAAGAAACAAAGGCAGAGAGGGGGAGGGGAGCTGGCAGATGACACTGGAGGCGGCCTAAGACAGGACTGGTGTGTCGGCCCAGCGTCACCCCACCCGCACCCAGGTCAGCGGGGCCAGCCCTCCCACAAGTACTCCCTGTTATCACCTCACTGGTTCCCCATTCTACTAGGGTTCCTACCACTGTGCCAGAGAAGCGATTTGCTGTGTGGTTTTCTTATCTGTTCAATGGGCCCAGGAGCCTCCTGGAAGCTGGATGGCCAGGTGATCCTCGAGGAGCAGGGGAGGGTCCTGGCGACAGTGGGGAGCAGGAGGCTGCAATGGAGAGGGGCGCAGGGTGGCTGGTGCCCCTGGGACATAGGGAGGAGGCGCCTAAAGCCTGGCCGGTTCTGGTTTGGAGAGTCCTGCCGGAGGAGGTCGGAAGCTGAGTCTCTTCCTGGGTCTGGCACTCACATCCTCCAGACGTGGTTCCTGCTTCACCTTCTAGCCTCCGTCACTGGCTGTGGCTCTGAGTCCCTGGGGACCCGAGGCCCCTACATCTGGAGGCCAGAGAGGAGAGGTGAGCCAGGGAGCTTTGAGGTGGGGAGGGTGGCGAAGGAAGTCCCAGGCTGCACCCCATCTTGCCCACCCGCCTTGGTCCTCCCCATGGTGGCCTGGAAGGTAAACTCCGCTCACAGCCCCGGACAGAGGAAGCGAAAGCTGGGGAGGCTGGTGCCCACTCTGGGCTCCTGGACACAGTTCCACTTCTGCCCAAGCCACAGCCATGCAGTAGCAGGTGCAGGGGTGGGCTGCCTCCCTCCCGGGGCTGCAGGCGTCGAGTGGCCAGGGAGGTAGGTCCGTGCTTTTCTCCTCACAGGCTCCCTCTCTCCCTGCTTCCCATGTGGCTCCAGAACTGGCAGCATGCATTCAGAGGACCAACGCCCAGACCCATGAAAGCAGATGCTGTGACGTGGGCCCTTGTGGCTGGGGTGACGGGGGTGGTCATCTGCTGGACTGCCCAAATAGCTGTGGACTCATGCTGGACGCCCAGGGTAGGAAGACGTCCTGCCTGTGCTCTCTGGTCACCAGACTCCGAGAAGCCATGGTCCACGGGTCCTCCTGTCTCCCGGGAGTCTGAGCTTGCCCTTTCCTAGAGGGAGGGAGCAGAGCTTGGTTGTGGAGTTTGGCTGTCTCACGAAGGACAGTGGCCTCCGTGAAGGCCCTTCCCCTTGAAATGAGGGTGGTCTGGCCATTCTACCTCCGCAAGCCTGGAAGGAACTTGGGGGCCCCTCCTATGCAATGCTTTCATCTTACCGAGGTGGAAACAGGCCCCAAAGCACCCCTACCCTGACCCCCCAAGATGGAGATGAACCTAGGAGCCGGAGTCCCAATGACATTTTCTTCCATTCGGAGGGCACCTCACACTCGGTGGTGGAGATGGGGGCGCAGAGCGAGGATTTCTCCTCTCCGACCCACCTGCAGGCTAGCTGCTGCATAGTCAACCTTGATTCACACTGTGCCCAGTGTGCCAGGGTGGCTTGGGGCTTTCCCCAGACCTGCCAGGCCTCCAACCAAGCACTTCTCTCTCTCCGCTGCCTGGGACCACATGGAGCTCTCAGGCCTCTGCCTCATCTGGGCCCCTTGTCCTCCAAGGCCAGGGAGTGGGCCAAGAGGGAGAGAGCAAGCCAAAAGGGAGAGTGCTCACACGCACTGGTCATCACATGGCACCCTGCTCACAGCCCCCCAGTTGCTGGCCCCCAGCCCACCTCCCTACCCCCAGGCTCTCCTCTCTTCCTGTATTCATTCATCCCTGTTAAAGCATGCACGGCAGAGCATCCATCCATCCATCAGTTTGCACACGTGCACGTCAGTGATGCCGATGACATTTTTCAGGCTCCTGGAGCCAACATTCGTGCCCTCCTTTCCCGAGGCGCCTCCTCCACAGACATGAGCCCGCTCCCCTCAGTTTTTAGGGGGACCTCTCTCGAGGGCTGCTTCCCATTGACCCCACCCAGCCAGTGCCGTGAGAAGAGCCCCAGGCCCAGGCCGATGCCCTTCAGCAACGCTGTCGTCTGGGTTAACGAGGACTGTCTCACAACACACTTCTGGCTTACGGTTCAAAGATTCTTCTCAGGGCAACAATTTCAGGGATTCGTCAAGCTGCAGATCTGGAGTTCTGGTCTGCATTTTTCTCCCTTTTGATCAAGATTCTCCCACAGAATCTTGTTTCCTGCTGTTCCCTAGGCCCAGATGCCCTTCCTTGTTCCTCACCCTTCTGCTTTGTAACCAGGCATCGCACCCTGAGGAGGTCTTCCCTGATCCCTCCCTGGTCCCCCGAGTTCTACGCAGATTGGAGTTTTATGCATTTCCTGCCTGGTCTTCATTGCGATGCCTGACGGTACAATCACCTGGTAATTTGTACAATTACCCAGCATCTCAGTTAGATTATAGGCTCTACGGGGCAGAGACCTTGTCTGCTCACCACTGCATCCCTGGCAGAGTACATATTTAGAAAGAACTATTGCCCTTTTAAAATGCCCATGTTCAAGGGCAAAGAAGAAATTAAAAAGAGGTGGTGTGTGTGTGTGTGTGTATGTGTGTATGGTACCCCCTGCCGAATGGAGCCTTTGGCAAGCAGCCAGGTGGAAACCCCTGAGCCTGGACTTTCTTTCTCTGAGCATCAGGACCAATTCCTCTTCCCAGGGGTGTTTCTGCAAAGCTCCACATCTTCCCTCTTCTAACTCTAAAAGCAAAGAGGAAGCACACCTGTGCCCCAACAAGAATGCTCGGCTGGCCCCAAAGATCACCAGAGCTCAAGGTAACAAACAAATAAGTTCCGGCTCACAGGTTCCAGGGGCAGAGGCAAGAATCAGGATCATGTGCAGGTCTGGGGTCGAGCGAGTGCTAACCTCTGAGAAGCCCTCGGGGTGGTGGTGGTGATGTACCATTTGTATCTAGAACTCAGAATGGTGGTGATGTACCATTTGTATCTAGAACTCAGAAACAGAGAGAGGCAGCCAGCTCCCTGGATCAGCCCTGGTCAGGGTTGCCTCAGTTTCCCCATGCTGGGGTCTGATGCTGACCCAGGGCCCCTCGGCACTCTCCTTCCCCCTCACCAGCCTGAGACGGCAGGCCCCTCCCCCGTGTGCCCTCCACCCTCCTTCTCCATCCCATATCCCTCTCCCTCCATCCCTCCCTCCTCCCGTTTCCCTGGCAACCCCTTCCTCCGCTTGCTCCCTCTGCCTCTCAGTCCTGCGCTCCATCTCATCTCTTTCTTTTCTCTTTCATCTCTCCCCTCATCCCCGCCCGCCCCTCCGTCCTCTGCTTGGGCCTCTCAGTCCCTCTGACTCGCCTTTTATCTCCTCATGTGCTCCTGTCATCTCAGGGCAGCAGTTATTTATCTCCAGCTTTGACAAAAAAGAGAGAGAAAGAAAAAGAAACGCACGGAGGGAAAAGAGACCCCCACTTCATGCACCCCGACTTTCCTGGCGCAGTGCCTGCTGCCCACAGTCACCTGGGGCAGGTCCCTCAATGGGCAGCCCCTCTCCTCCACACCTGAGTACTGGTGGGCGGGGCCCAGGGGTTGAGAGCTCACCGGTGGCCAGGGAACTGGGCTGCCTTTCCCAGGTCTGGGGGGGGAGAAGCCAGAGAAACAGTAGAGAAACAACCGGGGGCTAGAACATGGGCTAGACATAGATAAGCAGACCTGGAAATCCCACGCCATCTGTGAGATGCAGGCATTCCGTGCCCGCTAGGGAACCCCAGTCCTCCCCACCCCTGTGCCCTAGGCGAATGAAAGGGCCCGCTCCTGGCTGGCAGTGACCTGTGCTGGGTGCGCAGCTGCCTTGCTCCAAACATGGGGTCGAGATTCGCTGCTTTCCTGTGACCCTGAACTGCCTCTGAGGCAGCAGTTCTCAACCTGTAGGTCGTGACCCCTTTAGGGTCGAGTGACCCTTTCAGCAGAGTCCCGATTCATAACAGTAGCAAAATGACAGTGATGAAGTAGCAACGAAATAATTTGATGGTTGGGGGTCCCCACCACATGAGGAACTGTATGAAAGGGTCGCGGCCTTAGGAAGGCTGAGAACCATGGCTCAGAGGGACTCCAGGCACCCTCAGCCTTACAGTTTCTGGCCGAGCTGAGGGTGCCTGCACGTCTCTACTTCCCTTCAGCTCCCAGAATGCTCCTTAGAAACTTTGGCCCACTTTGTACCCACTGTGAGAGAAAGATAAGTTACCAAAAAGGACAACTGGGGGCAATGAATGTACAAATGTGCTTTACACAATCGATGGACGTATGGATTGTGATAAGAGCTGTATGAGCCCTTCATAAAACGATTATAAATAAATAAATAGAAAATCAAACAGTTAAAAAAAAAGACAACTGGACGAGAGGCACATGTCGGGAGAGAGGGCCAGCGCGGCAAGGGACTGCTCAGGGAGACGGCTGACACTGGCGCAGGCCCGCACACCATTCCCCGTTACACACAGGGTGGCCAGGGGTCTGCATCAACTTCATGGTGACTCGCCGTCGCCTCGCGCACTGAGCTGGTGCCGTGGACCAGGCCCCGCTGAGAGGCTCTCCCAGACAGACCAGCATCTAGATTTTCATGTTACAGGAGAGGACCTGAAGCTCAGAGAAGCCCAGTCAGGAAGAGGGGGGGACGGGTCAGTTTACAGTCATGCCCTTCCCTCCTCTGCCCCCCTTCTTCCGGTGTTCCGGGGAGGGGACGGTGTCCCCTAGCCCTGGTCTCCACATTTCTGCATTTCATCTGCAGTGGTCAGAAACGACAGGAGAAACAAAGGCCCGAGAACAGACACGGAGCACAGAAAACAAAGCTGGCCCATTAGGGATGTGGCCCGAGTTTCAAAGTGACAAGGGACTGGACGGACTCGTGGAAAATGGTACCAAGTCCCCTGAGAACAAAGGCCACACGGCGGAGAAGACAGGGGCCCTGGGCTTTCGGAACCACAGGGCCCATGTTGGCTCTCGCTCTCCGTACACCAGAGGTGGCGGCACAGCTGGGGCCCGGGACCCCTGAGACAGCACACCCTGGGTGGGGAATGATCACCAACGTTGGCCCCCTGGGCTCCCAAAGCTGAGGACGGTCTCCTTCGGCCAAGGCCCACTTGTGAGCACTAAGCGGCACCAGGGTACAGGCGGGGCCTGGGTCACTTTGCAAAGAGACCCGGGCAAGTTGCTCTACGGTTCCACACACCTGTGGTCTGACAACAGTGTAGGACCCCTCTCCAGCTGCCCTTGATGCTCTCCACGACCCTGCTGTTTGCACACTGCCCGCCCGGCCTCTGTGAACTGGTGGCTCCCGGTAGCTGTGAACCCTTCAGGGTGAGGGACTGGAGGCTGAGCTGTCGGTGGCTCCCTCAGTCCTGGGGTGGCAAGGCCCTGTTCTCTGGATGCACCAGGTCACAGAGCAGAACCCCTGAGTGTACAGAGGTGCCAGCACTACCAGGGCTCTGGCTGGTCCAGAGTCCCATGGCCCAGGAGCAGGGCCTGGCAGGGACAAAGCAGCAATGACAGGGCA